TCAATGGAAGCTGCGCGCGTTGATTATTATCCGTGGATCGAAGGGGAATCGCGATGGCTCTTCTTCGAAACTCCGAGTTGGAACGAAAAATCGGTTCTCGATGGAAGCTGCGCGCGTTGATTATTATCCGTGGATCGAAGGGGAATCGCGATGGCTCTTCTTCGCTACGCTGGATCGCCTTTCTCTCTCGCTACGCGTCGCTGGTTTTTCGAGAATTGGAAAGCGATCGACCGAGAGCGACAGTTTTCGCGTGGAAATGCTCGAAACTTCCGTCTGCTGGCGAGAAAAGGGGACATTTGCGTGGAAAAATAGCGACGAATATTTTCTCTTCTTATTCTCGATAGGATCAGGGGATCAGCGACCGTGAAGCATACATCGTGCAGGGTAATGAAGCCGTTTAATGTCCGTGGTAATTGCAACAGTTTGGCAGTCTTTAGACGGTAACGTGTATCATTTCTCTCGTGGTTCTGGTGTATCTCGTTGCAATTGTACGATGGGCAAACTTACTGATAAGGTTTTCAGTTGAACGTGTTCCTGCAAATTTCCTTACGATAGATCGGTAAATTCGGAGCTGGTATTTTAAACGATTAATAGGAAACCTAGGATGACTCTTTTCGGATCTGTCGATCGAACATCGTTCTATCGTCGCACATTTGACGATGTGGCGAATTAAGCAAGTAGTCGGATGCGAAGAAAATTGCCAGGTTCTTCTTCGCGAGATTAGAAAATAGGAATACCGATTCCAGAGAGTGCATTAGACAATGCTCTCAATTTCGAACCGAGCCCACGATAGAACCAGTTTTTCCCACTTTCCCGCTTTACATAACTCTTCAACCAGAAAGATTATCAGCTTCGGCCCGCAGCGTGTGTACGATCGTTAAGCAAAATCGAGAGATCGGAAAGGAAATTCCGCGCCGTTTCTCGCACCCGTGTCGTCTGAAACCGGCGCTGATCAATGGGAAGTTCCAACGAACGTATTTTTCCTCCATCGTGATCGGTTCGCGTCGCTTTCACGATGCATTTCGTCTCTTCTCGTTTCTTCAAAGCGGTAAGGCATTGTCGGATATGTCAGCTGAGATCTTCGAATCGCTCCTGTGATCGCGTTACATCGAAGGCTTTTACAAAAATATCATCTCCCATTTTCTTTTCGCGTCCCGTGTTTCAGCAAACGATCTTCCCCCTCCTTCGTATTTTTATTTCACTATTTTTATTCGTTTTTAAGCATTTTCGAGTTCCATGTTCTTCTTATCCGGGACGTCGAACGTACTTGGATGCTTCGTTTAGAAAAATTCGCGCTCGAAAACAGGAAGAAACACTAACGCACGAGGTATTTTTTAGTTTTGTCTGTTCGCTTAGCCGAAAAAGCAGCTAGCCGCGTTTCACCACCTATCTTTCTCCCGATTTCCTCCGCTCGATCTTCTTCGTCCTCGCTTCTTCGCCCGCCATTTTTAAGTTCCTTAATCCCGCTCGCGACAGCGGTCCAACTGCATCGCCTGCTACGAAACAACGACGAAGACAACAACTCGAGTGCACACCAGCAACGAAACGCGTTCCGTTTCTTCTTCTCTTCCCTTTTTCTCTCCTCCCGCGATGGCCTCCCTCTGATTGTGAGTTCGTATGCGCAACTTTCCCGCCTTTCGCGCTCCAATCGCAGGCCTCTCTTTCTCCACTTTTTCCTCGCCTTCTTCTCTACGTTACCTTTGGTTTTTCTCTTTGGCACATTTACCGGAATACGTTGTACACGCGTCCAGGTACGTCACCGTTTCGAAACGTGCTCTCCTGGTTGGCACACCGACGATCGAAAAATTCGCCGCGTTTTTTTCCTCCTTGTACTCGAGATGGAGCGTTTAGAAATTGGAACGTTGCTTAAACACCTTATCGGGAACGCTTCTTGTCGAGAATCAAAGTGCTAGGTTGAGCGCCGCAGCGAATCGGATCGCTGAGAGTGTATCACAAATTAGCTAGATCCTCTTTAACTTATCGACGCGCTGTCGACGTCGAGCGTGAACTTGCGCCTTGTCGCTCTTAAATTATAGACTTTCCACTAATCCGACGCGGTGTACGTACGTTTTAATTATTAAATAACACGGTGCTCGTCGATAAAGGAAAAGGAAAGCTTCGTTGGAATTTAATACGAATGTTCGAATCGTCGGTGCCTCTCGTCCAGTCGTTTCTCGTTTCCTCTCATCGGCTCGCCTTCCGATTCGGCTGCTTCGTTACACATACGCGATAACTACTACTTAAGCTTGCACGGTATTTTTCGCGTGTTTTTTTTCGGCTTTTTGTATTTTTTAGCATTTTTAAAAGCGAGCTAGATCGCGGACGATCGTGGACAATTCGATAGAACGACTCGTGGACTCGTCGACATTCAACGTATACACTACTATCGTAAAATTACATTTAACTGGTAACAGGTAGAGAGACAGAGAGAAAGAGAGAGATTAAACAAGACGTATCGATAACCATTTACTTTTACAACAACGTCGCTACGTTATACTCGCGAATGATAATTAGTAACTACTACTCGTTTAAATGTAATTATTGCGGTAACAATTACGTTATAAGTAGTTGGCGAAACGGTTCGTCGACTCTAACGAAGCAGTTCCTTGAAACGATGTTATGTTCACTTCAACCCTCGAAGATAAACGAACTTTCTACGCAATTTGAAATTTAATTCCACGCGTTTCTTCACGGATCGACCTAGACGAACGCAAACACGCGCGAATTCTACTTTCCTCTTACTCAACGAAATTAAAGCAACTCCGGATAGTCTACGGAAATCACCTCGTTACTCACAGAATTCAGATTAAAGATAATCGTCATGGAAATTAATAGGAACCGCTGTTCTAGCTCGCGTGTTAAATTTCTTCTCTCTTTTCCCGAATTACACAGCGACGAACACGGCAATTCAAACGCGCGTCACGCAGGGAAAATTTCAGGCCGCACAGAGTACGATTAGGATACAAATGTACCATTTAGAAAATCTGCCCGATAATCGTGTCGATGATTCATCGTAAAAAATGCCTAAACGACGTGATCCACGCGTGCACGTGGCGTGAGGTGAAAAAGCATGAGATCTCTGCACGAAAGACACAGGCCGTGAATTTTTCGAGCGTGGCGCGCGTTCGAACAGAGTGAATCGTCGCTCTCCTGGCACGCGAACGTGTCTTCGAATAATTTCCACGTGACCCGCTATGCAAACAAACGATTAGGCTCGCGTGATCGCGAGCTCCGCTTCGCACTTTCTCGACGTCCACGTGGAACTCTTCCCTTTCCCGCCTTCTCCACGACTTTGCAGATCTTCCGAATTCGTTTACCCCGCTTTCTCGCGCGCGAGATCGTCCGCGATCCCTCGAAAATTCGAACGATCAGGCCCATTGCTAAGTACGCGGTCTCTATGCTTATTTAACTTGTTGAAAATATCCGCATATTCTTATAGAATCGTCTCCGCTTTTTCTTCCTCTCCTGCGCGCTTCTCGCGGCGCTCCAGCGCGCACCGGAAGTCCGAGCGCGCCCGAGGTGCGATCGGGTAGGTACAAGTTTGCAATTCCACTACGATAGTCGATAATATTATCATATAATATATATGTATATATAATATATTTTGTTAAGCCTCAACAATTCCCATAATAAGTCTATGTTAGTCTCGGGCTCGCGTCGGCCAGGACTTCCGTCGATTTCGTTCCTCGTTCCTCTCGTATGCCTGCTCCTATCCTCTTCGCTTTTCGACGCTTACACGATACGTAGATTACATGCAAAAATAGAGTTTTGTGGATCCGCAGTTCGAAGGTTTTTCAACAGGCTGTGGTGCAATGGATGCAGAATGCGTAACGACCTTTTTACAATTCGGAAAGTGAGACGTTTGAAATTCCAGACTCCAGGTTACAGACCGATCTAACGCGCGAACCTAATTCGAAACGACCACGCGAAATACAAAAAGGCTCGAGCGGAAATTATAACTCGCCGAATGTCTAAACGAAAGTTGAACGGCAATTTCGTCGACGTGGATTGTCGCCGCGGTACCGCTATTGTATCAAGCGAGGAACTCGATCGACAGAAATCCCGATCGATGACGCTAAGCCAGGATCTTCGATAACGCATTTTAGTCAACAGTGAATCACCGTGCCTCGCGTAGCCTCGTCGTGCCCCGTGGTTATGGCACGTACGATTCGTGCACGCGAGGACCTCCTTTCACGATTGTGTCCAAGTTTCGCTTCGAGCATGCGTGCATCCGTGAGACGACCGTTCACGCAACACCGTGTCATGAGGCGTTAGCACAAGTTTGTCACTCGGGATCCCACAGTGGTACCCATACTCGTGGATCTCTACTCTCGTCTAGGTAGAGTCTCTGATCGAATCTCGTAACGATTAAGAGTATCATAATTAGTATACACGAAACAATCCCTAATAGTTTGGCACAGTCGACCTTCCTTCTCCCATACAACGTCATATTCGCACTCAGAGCGTCTTTCGTTTGTAATCCCTTCAACTGCATCTTCTTTGTACTCCTATATATTTGTCTCCGATCGTCTCTACCTTCGCTCCTCGTCGCAGTTTCAACCTGACGAGTTTCATCCGGCTAAACCGCTACTCGCGTTGTCACAGCTCGAAAGGCAAAAGGCTAGATGCTGGTACCGTTAGCCAGAAGTCTCGTCGGCAACGAGGACAACCACGACGACGTCGACGATCGCGCAATTATCATCCCATTGACTCGCTAATCGAGATCTTCGCTCGCCGCTCGGGCATCTCTTCCTCTGTCCACAGAGCGGCGCTTCCTCTCCTCTCTGTTTCTTTGTTTCTCGTGTCTCTTCCACGAGAGAATTCCCACCACCAGGGCCAGGTTCAATTAGCACCTGACTGAGAGCTCGGCCGTCGAATCGAGAGCGTTCGATGAAGATGAAGAGCAAGCTCGTCCCTCTTCTCCTCTTCGTCGATTTGTCTTCATTGTATCTATCAACCGACGAGCTTGATGATCGATTTCCTCGTTCCATCGCTCTCTTCAGCCTCTTTGACGGTTCAGCGTCGACGACGCTCCAAGTGTGTCGCGGGCCGAGCTCTGGACATGTCAGGCTACGGTGGTTCCGGCTCGGAGGTGGGAGATTCCTGCTACGCTTCCAGGAATATCAGAGCCGTCGGCTTCGGCTCCAGGTTGCTCTTCTTTGCCTCGACTACCAGGAACTCGATCTCGTTGCGGTCGCGCCTCGCGAACGACTCGGCGATCAGTCTTGCTACCTCCTGATGATGGAGACCTGTCGAACGAATTGCATGGTAGATCGAGCCTCGTAATTTTCGTAATCGTACTTTCACGACTCGGACCAACGAGTGCTATAACGAGACATTACCTTCCACCTTGTAACCGTCCACTTCTAGGATCAGCTGACCGACCTCGAGACCACCGGCCTCATACGCTGCTCCATTATCCTACGAGTGAATCGTTCGATTAGTTTCCTGTCGATAACACCCGCGATTCTGAGGATTCTCCACGTTAAAATCCTACATCCCGGACAGGCACGCTTCATCGTGCCCATTTAATTAATTAATTTGCTCAGAATCTGTGAAATCGACTCTAAATAAAGAGATTCTTACGTGTATGTTGATGATCCTGGGCAGTGGATGCTTGGTATTGGCCCCGCCCTCGATGGCAATGCCCAAAATCGACTTGGTCTTCTTCACGGTGATCCTGAGGTTACCCTGGTGATCGGGCACCACCAGAGCGCCGTCTTCCTCCCTTCTTTCCGATATCTCGCTTCTGGCCAGCCTTTGAGCACTGTGATGCCTTCGCTGGGTACCACCCGCGCCCCCAGCCCCGGCGGAAGCGGCCACGGAACCACCCTCCTCGATCAGCTGAGCCTCTTGCATGTCGAAGCTCCGTGAGAGCTTGTGCGCGAGTTCCTGAAACGGGCACAGCTACGTTTCATCGGCGGAAGTCGAGCAACCGCCTGGCTTCCGGTCGACCTTGCAGCGCTGTGACAGCCACCGTTTTGTCGTTTCGATCCGAGAATGCTTCACGATATTTTTTCCCTCCTCTATTCTTCTCTCACGTCTTTCACGTTCTCTCGAAATGCTACGGATTCTTTCGGAATTTCGAATTGCTCTAGTTTGTAATCTTATTCAGCTTCGTTTCGTTTTTGTAACGTTTGCAGCTAAGTATCGTGTCATTTAGCCCCGTCCGATGTCATTTCGATCGGGCAGCTTTGCAAAGGTTCGGCAAACGAGGGGAGGGAATTATTTTGTCACGTCGAGAAGCCGAGATTCCGTGGCAAGCAAGTTTCCCTGACACGGTCACTGTCACGCAGCCCGTCAAAGCCACCTCGAACACGCACGATGACAGCACACAAGAGCTAAGGAGGCTGATACTGACAAGTTCGTGTGCACGCTGTAGTCGAAGGGAGTCCTGGTAGTCTGTAAAGTTGGTTACGCGAGAAAGTTCGTCAGAGCCTATCTCGACGACAGGCGGGACACGATATGTAAATACCAAGCACGTTGCCATTAGAGGTTTCTCAACGTTCGTCGTTAACGCTTCGAAACATTCCGTGAAAATTCGTACAGCCATGACTCGTGCAAAGTGTCAAGACAACCCCTAGACAACCAGAAATAAAGTCATATTATATGGAGCGTGTCCATTCTCGCGGAGTTTAGGTATATATATATATATCGTCATGATAGTCTCGGAGAAATTATTCGTTCGAAAGTAAGCAAAATCGCCCATTCGTCGATATCACCAAGTTCTCTGTTTTCAATCCGCAGCCAACTTGCATTGCCTACCGGGCTTCGCTTCTCCACAACGGTGCACATCTCTCCCGGTTACCTATATGCAATCGTACACAACATGGCGTAGGAAAAACGTGAGTAAGAATAAAAATGTCTATATACACGTATACATGTATAATAACGAATACGAATATATCGCGCGATATATTCGCATCGGGTGCTTATACATGTACAGATATATATATATAAAAATCGATATAGGTATCACAAGAGTATATTAAAAAAATTAAGTTTCATGCTTGCTGATAGGCTGGTAGCAGTTGGGTGTTGGTGGTGCTCGGACAGAGTGGTGGTGGTGGTAGTGGTGGTGTTTGTCGTGCAGTTACTTTACGATCGAGTCGTATCGTTCTTTCGTCATCGATCCTCATCGAAATTACGATTGCACGATCATCATTCTGAATGCATGACAACGACGAGATTCCTCACACCTAACCCGTCACGTGCGAGTATAGAGATCATTAACCTGTTAACCGGGCGACTTATCGGTCAGCCGTAAACCTACAGTCGCGTTCAAAAATTTCCAATCGTGACGAAAAATCGATCTCCTCCGGGGTCGATTTTAATTCAGGACGATAACGCGATCGCAACGAGGTGGAAAATGAATTGTTACACGAAGAATTCGCGATTTCCAGTTAACAGGTTAGATCGTGACACCTGAACTCTAGATTCGAACCATCCGTGTCTGACACTCTCCGTCTATCACGTCCAACTGGTCGAGTTTCGCGAATCTCGAAACTCTCGTGGAACTTTCTTGGTCCTTGCTCAATTTCCAAAGCAAACTTCGCCTTTTTTTCCAGGTCGCTCGAAGAATACCTAACTAATTCCAGCCTCCGAGTTGCTAAGTCAACTCGCCAGTTCTCCAGGCGAACGCTAACTCGTTCGTCAAACGTCTCGATCGAACGAAACGCTTCGAGAGCGTTGTCGAGAGCTGTTCGAGAGCGTTTCGAGATTCGCCTAATCCCCTCGACCTCTTCCACGACTCTAGCTCGCGTCCAATCTCCACCGGCGCCATTTCCACGCACGTAGATTCCGTAGGTCAGGGTTGACGGGCGTGGAAATCGAGCGAATTCGCGAGCGGAGTCCCGAGGCCGATCTCCGACTCGCGCGCGGAGAAACGCGGATCGCGAGCGGGTGAAAGTGTCTCTCACGAACGGACGCGCCTGCGCGACGGAGACCGCGAACTCACTAGCGACCCCACGACCCGTAATTTCTCTTCCTACACGGACCAGTCTTAATCTGGATCCCGTTTGTCGCCACGTAGCCGCGGAATAATCAACGGGGAAGTAACGAAAGTGGAAACTGGTCTTTGACAACTGTCTCGCGATAAAATTAGAGAAAAGAATGAGATTTCTGCAGGAATTTCTTGGGATTTTGGGAGGAATCGACCCCCTCGTGACGCGAATTTTGGTCGCTCTCTATCGTTCCGATTTAACCCTCTATTCGACTCGTTTCTTTCCAATTTTTGCACCATCGTAGTACCAATTAGAGTGTAAGAAGTGTGTCGACGCGTCTACCTCATCGATTACGAAATCACGAAAATGGAAAAACGCAGAGCGCGTGCAGCTTTAGAAAGTGGCTTATCGAGCATAACCAGTTGGTCCGTGAAATGTTGACCGCGGCTGGCATCACGGAGGGTTAAACCGTGAAAAATTTCAATAGCACAGTTGCACACGGGCAACACGGAGCGGTGCAAGTGACACGGAGCTATAACCAGTTAAAATGGACGCGATACGAGGACAAATGGCGGATCGTCGTTCGATTAAATCTCGTCGAGTTTCTTCGCGGATTTTCCGGTTCCACCTTGGAATGAGTTTCCTTGTTCGGTGAAAACCTCTGTTCGCGCTTTCTCTGCTGATTTATCGTCATCGATGGCTTCCCATCACCGATCGAGACTTTCTTCCTACGTGTTCCTATATCGCGGACTGTGCACGGTCGTCTACGGTCACGGGATCCGATTGCACGTTTCTAATCTCTAATGACGGTCTCTATAGTAATCGAACGGGATGAAACGAACGTCTACACCGCTATCTAAGCTTCGCTCTACTCTCCGTTTACCGATTCTACGGTGTGCCGCGGACGATGGGTACACAGAACCGCGGTTTATCGCTACGCGACTGTATTTCGATGTGAGTAAAGTGATCGTGCATGCCAAGACATCTAGGTAAAATATACACTTTGACATATGTTCACACGGTGTATATATAATTATATAGATATGCGACTCGGGGGATGCTGTTATAATTATATATACATTGCGTAGATATAACAGTAGTCGTGCGTTGAATATATATATATGTATATATATTAAGGACAAATCGAAAGAGTAGCATGTGCAAGACATCTAAGAAAAAACACGTACACACCTAACGCTATTTCGACTAAATTCGCTAAACTCTAAGAGCAGAAAAGAGGAAATTGATCTTGGTAAAACAGGGGAAGAGAAAGAAGTAAGAAAAAGAGAGAGAGAGACAGACAGATAGAGTGAAATATATATGTAATGTAATATATATATATGTAGAGACAGAAAGAGAGAGAGAGAGAACAAAAGAAAGACAGAGATCTAATTAGGGAACTTCATGCCAAAGGGGATGATCGTTTCCGATGGCTCGAAATTAGACGATGAAATTAAGATAACTTTTAATCAACAATCAGATCGAACGTGATATCGTTTATCGTTATCAATCACGTGCTCTGGTATCGAGTAAAAATTTTCTCCTTTCGCGCGCGATCACGGCAATTGAAATTATAAAAATCCCCAGAGGAAGCTAGGGATTTTCCTTCTTTTCGCTCGATCAGCCTTTAACGTTCGTACGTACAGTTGCGTTTGCGTTTAAATTTCCCGTCTTTTCTCTAGTTTACTACACAAGCTTCGTATACGCGGCTTAAAACGTTGGAAAAGTTTCGTTTTACCAGGGTGCGCTCAAGAAGGTGTACAAAAGTTCTGAGCCGGCACCCGGAGCTTTCCTTTCTATCTGTCGGGAACAGAAATTTTCGTTAGGCACATTTAAGCTCGCGAGTCCTCTAACTATTGCCACTACTTTCTATGGCCGCGACTATTAATTACTTTGCTAAACTTCCAACGAAAACGCTAACGTGTCTATTAAACGACGCTACCGATCGATCTAACTAATAAATGGATCTAAAGGAACGAGACTAGAGACGAGTGAATGCTTTCCTTTGACTCTCTGAAGCACTCCCGACCCCAGAATCTCGGAATATTTCGGATAATCCCATCTCCGCGAGAGGTACAATTATTTTTCAGTCTATCTATCTATACCCAGTAAATCATCGTCCAAAGGGAGGTAAAATAAAGACGGGGAATTTTTGTATTATACTTATCAAGATCAGGAGAATAGGATAAAATAACGTATATAAGAGAAATAAATGAGAGAAAGCTACCTCGGTCTCTTCCTTTCTGTTTCACGAATCGCAAGATCACGATGACCAGTCGATTATTTTCTTCCTCGAGATAGTTAGAACGCTTCGTGTCACGACGAACATCGCGTCGAACATCGTGCAAAAGTCCCTAGGAGTAGCTCGACCAGGCGGCCATCTTGGCCAGCACGAAGACAGGCAGAGAGCCTTAAAAGCCGGGAAATTTGAGAACAGCAATGATGGATATTCGCAAATTTGCATTACTCCGGACATTTTAACGCCTCGGGGCTTTTAAAACACTCGAGATTCGTTAAGACAGTCGGACCGTTTAAGTTTCAAGGAAACTCGTCGAGAACTTCTCTGGTCGAGCGATCATTCGAGGCGACTCGAAGCGTCTCTGAACGTCGCGAGACGTCGAATGACGTCAGAGAGAGAAAGAAAGAGAGCGAGATAGGGGTTAGGGTAGAAGTAAAGTAACGACTGGGAAGAAAATAGGGGGGAAAGGAAGAGAGAAA